AAGATATTATATAGGAGATACAGTAGTCTCTCGCAAATTAGAAACTTTCGATTACAGCGTTGATTTTCAAGGGCGAAATTTCTAATTTACTTATTGTTAAGAGAAAGATTAAAAAAAAAATAGAAAATATAATAATTTAGATATTCTTTTTTAATTATATAATTTTTATGGGTCAGTTTTTGGGGTTTATAAAAAACTTTGTTTATTTTTGTTTTTTAGTATTTTTGTTTTTAAATAATGCATTTTCAGTGTTATTTTTTCTGAACAATTTCCAAGGATCTAGTAAAATAATTCAAATTATTATTACAGTGAACGTTTGCAGGAATTACTTCAATAGATTTCTAATTAAATCTAAATTTCAGTTACGAATGTCGCTTAGCTAATAATTTGATTGAATAAAATAATTTTACCAGTAACAACTGTGCAAGTTTTTTGTTTTTTTAGTTTATTAATTAATTTTTAAGAGCACTAAGTTTTATTTAAAGCAGACACTTATTATTTTTAGCTAAACCATACTGCAGTTAAATATTTAAACAGATTTTTTTTGAGGCGTTTGCTTGTTATTAAAAAAAAACAGCTGCTTAAGCATAATATTGTTTTCTTCGTGGAAATAATGACAAAATAAATAGAATATAATGCATTGCCAAGACAGACTAACAAGAATTTATTCACATAGAACGCTTCGATTCCAGTTTTTATTGGTAAAAGCCTTTTAAAATGGGCTTGATAATCAATTTTTTATTTATTAAAATAAATATAAATGCAGAAAGTAAATATTAATAAAATGTGAAGTCTTTAAATGCATATTCAAAGTTCTGATCAATTTAAAGATCTGAAAGTTCCCATTAACGAAAGACTACTGTACCCACCCTGTAATAAATTGCTATTTTTGAGCCTCCCTCCCACACACACACACACACACACACACACACACACACACAGCCAGGCTGACATTTTTACCCTGGCTTTTGGGCCAATGTAAAGTATGCTGTCTGCCTTCAGTTTAGAACCACATAAAAATAAGTGGCTGGAAAAATAACAAATAAGAAAAGCGCCCCCTCACAGAGCTGGCCTCCAACCCGAATTGTTGCTGCAGGCTGCGCAGCTGAGCTCGAAATGAGCATTCAATTGTTGACAATGTTGACAATGAATGTACATATATATATATATTTAGAAATATGCATATACATATGTCTATCTATGTATTTTTCAATTTGAAACTGTCGCCAAGTGCGGAAGGTAATCAAATCAGTGTGAATGAGTTTAATGCGAGCTGCGCGCCCGAATGGGTTTTTTTTTTGTTGGTATAAATGGAATATTTTGAGCTTGAATTTAATGAGGATACATTCAATTGAATAAAAACATTTGCACTTGGAAAGAGAGAGAGATAGAGACTCTGAGATCCTGAGTGACCTGGACAACGAGAGAGCGAGAGAGAGAGTTGAACTTTGACAGGTGCTTAGCTAATGGGTTGGCCTTTAGTCTGAGATTTACCTTTGTACCGTTACGTGCAGCTCGTCGCTTTTTTACGGCCGGAAGAGATCAATTTGTAGGCCTGGCCGGCAGCTTGCGCAATTTATTTGCCTAATTGCAGTCACAGATACAGATACAGACACACGGCTAGAAATACAGATACAGATACATTTGCGAGTACAAAGCTCAGTTCTCTCTATGCAGATAGCGGAGAGAGAGAGAGAGAGAGGGGGGTCGGGGGGGATAGGCAAGGGACGGGGTTCTGTTAGGCAGACAGCCCAATTCTCAGGGCAGATGCCAGGAATGAGATGTGAAAAGAAAAAGAGTGAGGAGGGGACTGAAAAGAGCACTGAACTTGCGGAACGAGTTCAACAAGGTTTTGCTTAAAAAACATGTAAGAACGTAACAGCAGAGTGCGCCACACTACAAAATACCCTGTAGGCTAACTATAAAAGCTATAGTTCGTACCCAGGAGGAAATTCTTTCGAAATAAATGCACTTTTCTATTATTAAGTTCAGATTGACGTGCATAAATTTGTTAAATACTTTTCTAGCCTGTACAACAAACAAAAGATAAATTAAAGTGGACTGATTTGATTCGCCTTTGCCTAACTTTTGTATAGACCTACCTATTATGATTATTTTTTCGAAACACAGCTAGACTGAAAACTTTCGGGGCCTTTCAGCCAAATCGCCAAACTGAAAGCCACTCATTCACTCGATACAAAGCAATTATCATAAGACTGAAATAATTATAACCCACGCATTTAGCTCGCACTTTAGATTTTGTTTGTCTGAAACAAATGCGAAAGAAATAAATTGCAAATTTTTGTGTTTTTTCTTCTTCTTTTTAACCATTTCTAAATAAAAAGGCAAAAAATGTGTAGAAAGCAAAATCTCAAATCAATTTCACTCGAATTGAATAGATTGTAGATACATCTCCATATAAAACGCATAAGTTTATGCTAAATTTCTTTGCTCGGAATATTTTTTAGTTATTTACGTAGTTTTCATAAACAGTAAATCGAATGCTGAAAACTTCTGTCAGCGGTTGAACGGAATGCTTTGAACTTGAATTGCGCAGAATGTGGATACAAAAAATAAAAGCAAAATTATAATCAACAAAATACAGACACATATACAACCACATTTGCAGACACAGATACATACACCTTTGGCATAGCTAACAGAACATTCGCTCGTCTCTTAAGCGCCATTCAAATCATGTTTATGCCCAATACCCATTACAAACGGGTTAAAGGGGCATGACAAAGTTGCGCTAGTCTACGTAACAGGCTGGCGTAGACATTCATACACACGTATACACATATTATTGTAGAGTATATTCTCCATGTGCATCCATGCACTTTTACAGAGAGGAAGACTATGATAAAAATCAAAATTAAAATATCATAGCAAATAAATGGTCAGATTCGATATTTAAACATTTGTCGAAAATAACTGTTCAATATTCTCGTAAATATTATGAATGAATATCTTCCATTTAGAATACCTTAAATTGCAAGCCAACATTTTGCTAGCAAAAATATTTGTTTGCCTTTGAACAATTTCCAAGAATCAGCTATCGTCAGCGAGGAAAGTATGCAGCTAATCTGCAAACGTTTGTTTCTTTCACCTTAATTCTGTTTAAAAAGTTTTTAATTCTTACACCTGCAGATTAAACAGCTGTTCGCAGCAGCTGTTAAGTGAGATTTGCACAAATGTTAGTTGCAGCAGCACATTTATCGATAATCGATGACTGCACAGCACCCGGAACAATCAAGTTTTCGTTAAAATCGGATAAAAGAAAGTAACATCTTTTACAATACAGCAATAAATGAAACTCACCTCGCGAAATGTTATAATTGCAAATTTATTACAATTTACGTTGTGGATGTTGTTGTCGACGTCACGAGCAGCTGTTGGCGTGCGGCAAAGAAACAAAAAACTTTTTTTTTAATATTAAAACACGCGCGCAAACACAAACTAAAGAAATTTTCTTCTGAGCGAAGCAACAAAAATAAAATAAGATAAGAAGTACCAACAACAACAGCAGCGACAACAGCAGAACGAATTTTCTCTCAATGAGCACAAAAAAAAAAATCGAACATCAACGGCGCCGTCACTCACCAATACATAGATAAACGAGAGGGCGTCGTATTATTGTTGTAGTTGTTGTTGCTGTTGCGTTTTGTTTTCTAAATTTTCATTGTTTTAATTAAAAGCACAAGAATTTTGCAAATTTAGTATACATTTGTTTTAATCTGTCACTGTTTCACTGAGAACAAGCATTAAAGCACTTCTCACCGCGCTCTCAACACAGTTTCTGCAGCCTTTGAATTGTTATAGCAAGCTTTTTGTTATTGTAAAATTTTCTCTCAAAATTTCAGCACTTTTATTAACATTTTTGTGGTGAAAAGACGCATCACACACACGCATGCATTAAAAGACCCAAGCACACACGCACACATAGGCACAAACACATGTACACACGATGCTACTGCTTCTGAGAGCAGTTGTTTTTGTTATTGCGACGCTTGCGTCGCTTTCATACATTTATATTAAAATATGTTTCAGCTACTTTTATTAAATTAAACGCGTTTCGCGTTGGTTTCAATCGCACACGAAATATAAATGTATTGTACAATAGAGCCACGAAAAGTGCCACCCACGACCGAACGCAGCAACCAATCAGCGAGTGATTTCAGTATTTTGACTGATGCAAATATTAGCGTATTTTCGGATTGTTTTAAGTTGTATCGTATTTATGCTTATTATTTAAAACTTTTAAGCATCAACACACACACAAACATTATGCAAATTAAAACGCACCCAAAACGCGACTTCACCGTCCGCTTGTAAGATTGTTAATGCTAACACGTTATGTTAATGTGCTTAGACATGAGGGCATTATGTTATACTCAACTGGGCCTGTTACAACTGACTCTGTTAAGATTGTAATTAAACTGTGAGAATGTACCATAGGCCCCATTTAAAAATACACGGGATGCAGAAGTAAACAGATTAATCTCATAAAATTTTACTTCTATAGAGAACACCTGAAGATTTACTTTAATCGGTTTGTGATTTAATAGAAAATTCGCAATGTAACTCATGCGCTGCATACTGGGCTTAATCAAATGCTGACCAGCAGGCTGTTAGGCTTAAATTTAACATTTTCTGTTAGAATGCTGATTATACTCAAAATGGCACTGTCGTGCTCAGAATGGCACTGTTACGCTTGGCATTAAGTTGGCTGGCAAAGTGCAATAAAGTAAGGTGAAAAGCAAAACGTGGTTGCCAAAAATCATTTGCTAAAGGAAACTAGAAGTGCGCTTAATGTGAAATTGTTAGTATCGATTTGTTTTAACACTATTACACTCGGGTGTCTGGTCGCGGGACCATGTAAATATTCGCCACCTACAGTATAATTTTTGAAGCGGCGCGTGTGCAACCCCAGACAAACACCATTTCGTAAGTACGTATTTTAAGTTGAACGGTAAAACCAAGATGGCGCCAAAACCGAATATTATTGCAGACGTTACTCCATATATTTATACATATGTAGTTATCATATGCATGTGTAGGAATACATGAATTTACATTGGTTATGTTGGTTACTTTGTACAATGAGATTGTGTAGGACCTAAGTTTCGTTCTGAAGAAGTTCTAACAGCAGGGTCCACATCCACCACAACATGGTCCACAACCACTACAGCACGACCAGCATGGTTGGCAAGAGGGATAGCAGCATCCGCCGCAGCATGGGGAACAGCAGCCGCCGCAAGGGCCGCATCACGGATAGCACGGATAGCACATGTTAAAAATGAGAGTCTGCGGAGAGTGCGGGCCAAGGGCCCGTCAGTTCCACTGGAAGAACCGTTAGAAAGAATTTACTTACCTTTATTTGAACTTCTTCACGAACATAGGTATTGTTTGGGGGTTAAGCGAACGTTCATTGGCTTTCAAAGATCTTTTTCTCAAATTCTCCAAAACCAATGAAATCTTCGTCGTCTTATTACAGAAATAACATCAACCTGTAGTTTTATTTAAAGAATTGAATACCTTTTCTTTTAAAATATTTGTACAACTCACATTCCCGTAAAATTCACAACAATGCACATAAAAAGCAAATATGTTTACTAGACAAACCTAAAAGCAAGATTGAGATTTTCTAGTATTGGGTCTGGTAGCTAGGCCTAATCGTTGTAATTAATATATCAGAGCCTGCTTTAATTCTTATTTTTCAAAGCTCTATAATTTTATTAACATTTTCAATCGATCTTTTTGAAGAATTTCTACGATATAGAATATTCTTAAGCTTTAGATGTATAGCGAAGATTATTATTAACAAGCTTATAAAAACTCATATTTTCACCGATTATAGCAGCTAATAACGTGACCTTGCCTTGGATCCAGCTCTATTTTCCATATTTGCTCCTCGTGTATATGCAAAATCCTATCAACAACGAACTGCTATATCACATAGCTGCCATATGAAAAGTAGGTTCTATAAAAGTAGGCTCTTGTTTGAAAATAAAAATTTCAATATTCTCACATATCTGGGTATCGACGTGCCGAAGATACTCTTACTTTCCTGTAATTTAAATTTAAATACAGAAAAACAAAACGATAAAAAACGCGACTTCTCCGCAAAGGCTCATTATGTCACTTGAGCTCCTAATACATGTTGCAGCTTCCTAGGACAATCTCTTTTAATAAATAATTTTTTTTTTATTCATTACTGAGAATTTACAAACACATTTACGGGAGGCATTTTGTACTGAATGTGGTGCACCTAGATTTCGTTCTGAAGACGCTTTCTAACAGCAGGGGCCGCAGCCACCACAGCAGGGTCCGCAGCCCCCGCAACAGGAGCCACAGCAAGGTCCCGATCCACTGCAAGGGCCACATCCGCCGCAACATAGGCGCGGGGGGTAGCAGCACGGAGAGGCGCCGCCGCCGCAGCACGGGTAGAGTTTGTAGCACATGTTGATAGAATAGGCTGTAGAAGGAAGGAAGGCTTTTAATGAGATCTCCTATGGAACGAGCTCTGCTAGGAATATTTCTACCCTGAATAAAACTTCACAGAAATAGGTGTTTTTTGGGAATTAAGCGACCGTCAATTGGCATTCAGAATTCTTATCGAGCTAATTTCTTTGCTACGGGTCTTCACGCACGGTTGCCGTTTTCCTGTTACGGAAAAAACTTCAACCTATTTTAGTAAACAAAATTTTTTTTAAAACTAATAAAAGAAAATATATTTTCTTTGTTGTAAACTTACATTCCCAAAAACTTCACATTAAAGTACAGAAAGAAAGCTGAGATATTAACTGGACAAGCCTCAAAAATTGAATGAGCTCCGAGCTGTACCAGGAGCATAATCCAAATTATTAGAGTTGGGAGGCTCTAAGGCTACTTTGCTTCTAATACATATCAAATCGAAAGGATTTTTCTTATCCAAAAAATGTATAACTATCATGTCTGCAGGCCCAAAAAAAATTGTCAGCGGTGCGATGCGAGGCATCAATTCCAACCCAGGTTTTCTATATCCACTAAACCGATTATAGCTTTATCATGCAATGTGTAATAGGACCTTATAAAGTGTATATATTCTTAATCTGTATCAACAGTCTAGTTTATGTAGTCAGACCCGTCTGTTTCAATACAAACTAGTCTCCCTGTTTGATAACTTTCCAATTGTAACTTTGCATATCCGGTCGGATCGGACTAGTATATCAAGATATTTTGGTCAATCCCATTTACTATTTTACCTGCGCTGCTTTGATATGAGACTAACATATTTTATTGCTCTGCTGGAAAAATCTTATTAAAATTTATCATTTACGAATAATAATAGGAATAATCTACAAGCTCAGCAATTACGAGCATCCAAATTTCGTTCCCAGTACGTAATTAAAAATATACATTTCGCAGACTTTCCCATTTATTGATGCGCATACATTTGATTTATATACAAACATTTTAGTACATATACATCAAATGTATATAAAATGTGTGTTACATGTTGTACTTTATGTGTAGATTTCGTTCTTAAAGAGGTTCTAAGAGCAGGGTTCTCAGTAGCACGAGTAGCAGGGGCTGCAGCACATCTTGAGAAAGACTGTTAAAGGATGAATAAAGTAGTTCTAATTTAGTTGATGGGAGTATTCAATAATCTTGCGATCTGATTTTTAAGTTCCAGTTCCAAACACTTTCAATGTTTTCTTTTTACATTAAATACTTCAACCTATTTATAAAAATATAATACAATTCATTCCAACTCAATTTTCCTTTTTCAGATTGCTTTCAACTCACCAAAAACTGCACAAAAAATACAAAAAAAATTGCAGAGATATTAACTGGACAAGCCCGGAAGCTTGAATTAATGCTAGGTAAGTAGCCAAACCAAAATTGTTGAAGTTTAAATTTAAGAGATTACTTTGCTTATAATTTAAATAAGATTAAACTGAATTACGCTGAACATTTTGATATTATATAAACTTATCGTGCAATTGGCAATTGGTTCTATAAAGTTCCATCCGATCAGCTAAACCCATTAAAAATGGAGAAAAAGGATTAAAGGCTCCTCCCAACAATTTTTTTTGACCAAGCTGCATTTAATCTAAAGACTCCCTTTATCTTTAAGTCTTTATTACCGATTCAATGTCATCTGGCAAAAAGGCATTGAATGTAGTCTCTAATATGGCTCACATACATATTTCTTTCATGAGTCTCGACTATAAATATCTCGGTTTATGTTGACCGAGAGATTATCCTTGCAAATTTGCAGGTAATGCAATATAAATTCTTATTGTTTCGAATGGGAAACATACGATATATTTGTCGGCGCATACGGAAGGTGTGTAGTGGTACAATGATTGGGAATGTTAGAGCGAGGCGACAATGTCGCCGATTGTGGTTCGATGGGATACGAAGGGAAAAGGAAGTAAGCTTCCTAAGACGCCTAGTATACGCATCAAAAATCGCTGCGCTCCGAAATATTATTCCGACATATTTTTAAAATTTTCTGTATTTTTCAAATAAATACCTAAAAAGCCAAAATGGAGCGAGAGGTATCAATAATAGTTACCAGGCACGTATATAAATGCATTCAAGCTATGCAGATAGGCAGATAAGAGAATGAAACGATACAAGAACAAAGATAATTTGCAGTACTGGATAGACCAATCACTGGTAAATCTGATGAGCTCAGGAATATTGGAGGATGTATAAGACCTTTAAGCGAAATGTGGCGTGAACTTGGTAGGTCGTTAATAGGATAGTTCACCGGCCAATTTTGGTATTAGAAGCTATTATAATATAATGTAGTACAAAGTCATTTATCAACTAGAAACAAACTTGATTTGTGCAAAACCTGCTTAGCTCCCGATCGAGGCGCTCATAAAGACAGATGCCCATGGCTCTGCTTGTTTTTCTGATCAAGAATCTATTATTGGGTCGAATATGCCTTCTTAACCCATTTGCAATAAAAACTGATTATAAATCAATATAATCAACGTAATTAACTACAGATTTTATTATAAATAGCACCAAAATTTCTTTCTGAGTAGGTTCTTAACAGCAGGGTCCACATCCGCCACAGTTAGGGTAGCAGAAGCAGGCGGCGGAGCAGCCTCCGCCCCCGCAGTTGCCGTTGCAGCCGCAACATCCAGAGCAGCAACCATTGCAGGGCGTGGTGCAGGAATAGTTGCACGAGTAGCACGGCGAGCACATCCTGACCTTAGAGTAGGTCGTAGATTATATCAGGCGAAATTCCCCAACCTTAAAATTGAACTTCTTCACGGAAATAGGCACTGAGATGGTAAATATCGACCGCTGATTGGCTTTCAGAAAACAGATTTCAAGATCCTGAAATCCAAAGCAGTCGATGTTTTCTTTTTATAGGAAAAGTTTCAACCTGTATTTGAAAAAAATATATTATTTTTCTAAAATTTTCTGCATTCAACACTTACATTCCCGTAAATTGGGAAAAAAAATTACAACAATAAAATATAAATGTTAAGTAGACAAGGCCAAAAAGGGAAATGAATGCTGTCTAACTAAAATCGTAAGAAGTTAAATTATCAAAGCCTACTGTGATTCGTATAACAAGACCTATAATACATATTAGTGGGCAAATCTAAAAAAAAATATAGTTTATATAGTTCTAAGCAATGATGTTCGTTTTGTGAACCATGTCTTCCACATTCATGAAAATGGGAAATGTTCTTGAGCAAATACATATAAATCGATCAGTCTGTTTATACTCTACGATTCCGATACTAATTCGATGTCAAACTCAAAATGTATACTCTGGATATCTTGCTTCATATTTATATATTTTAAGCATCTCAGAATCTACATTATATGAAGTAAATTGAGCGGAATTTCTGGCTGCGTTTTTTGATCTAGTGAGATATTTAATTGGTTATCGATGTAAGCTTCTTAATTTAATAAGAATTTCTATGGGCTACAGATTGCCTGTCTGTACATTTATTTCATTTGCAAGGATACGAGCGATTAACAGCAAATCTACGGCGTTTCTTATTTTAATAAATCATCCATTTTATTTATATACTTTGAAAGAAAAACAATACAATGGGATTGCTGTAGCTTTTTGTACCGAATGTTTGCTAGTACCTAGGTTTCCTTCCGAAGATGGTTCTAACAGCAGGGACCACAGCCACCAAAGCAGCCTCCGGATCATCCTCCGCAAGGTCCGCAACATCCTCCGCACGGTCCGCAGCACGAGTAGCAAGGTCCGCAGCACATTCTGATAGGGTCTGCAGAATAGAATTGTTCAAATAGTAAAGAATAGAGAGTAACGTCGGGTACTCACGTTTAGTTGAACTTCTTCACGGAAAAAGGTACTATGATGGTTGAGTCCGACAGCTGATTGGCTTTCAGTAAACTATTTAGTTCAGTTGTCAAACTGAAATCCAATGCAGTCAGTGCTTTTTGCTACAATATTTTCAACCTGTGTATGAATAACAAAAATATTTTTTAATTGTAAATCCAAGTTTTTTCGTCGTTTCTCAAGACTTACATTCCCCAAGAATTTACAAAAAATGACACAAATAAAATCTAGAGCTGTTGACTGGACAAAATTGGGAAGCTGAATGAGGTTTATTTCTATTGCGTCTGCTAACAAGGCCAGAATCATTGACTTTCAATTGTCAGAGCCTACTGTGGTCTTTATTTTGTAACATAATTATTTTTGTGGCCAAAACCCTTCGAATCATCTACTGAAGAGCTCTCCTAAAGATAAAACCGTATATCCGGTTTACGGCTAATTGATGTCTTTTAGGTCTAATTTTTATTTTACGCTCTGCTTAGTAAAATATATTATTTTTCAATTTGATCCAATTCGAATTATTTACGATTGAATTATGCACAATGAAAATCCGGTTTACGACTAATATACTATACTAACCCTAAACGGGGTAAATTCTATTTTTGGTTCTGCTCAGTAAAAGATATTTTTATTTTAAAAAGGCTCCACTCTATTTATATATTTCCATTACTATATGATTTGAGAAACAAATATGTACATAGGGTTTGCAGTCACTTTTTGTAACAAAAGTTAGTACCTAGATTTCGTTCTGATTTCGTTCGGGTCTAACAGCAGGGACCACAGCCACCACAGCAGCCTCCGCAGCACCCTCCGCAAGGTCCACAACAGCTACTATAGCACCCCCCGTAGCAACCACCGCAGGGTCCGCAGCAACCCCCGCAAGGTCCGCAGCAGCTCCCGCAGGGTCCGCAACACGAGTAGCAAGGTCCGCAGCACATTTTGACAGACTGCAATGCAAAAGATAGATATATTAGTTCAAATAGTTGGACATATTTGAGTACTCACGGTTATTTGAACTTCTTCACAGAAATAGGTACTAGAATGGCAAATATCGACCGCTGATTGGCTTTCAGAAAACTAGTCCGGATATCCAGTTCCTGGAACCCAAAGCAGTCGATGTGTTCTGTTACAGGAAAGACTTCAACCTGTTGCATTAGATAATTATTATTTAATTTTTTACTTTAAAAATTCAGAATATCTAAGCTTACATCCCAAAAAATTTACAAAAAATCTAGTTACACAAAAATCTAGTTTTCAACTGGAAAAGTACTAGAAGCTGAATGAGGTTTATTTGTATTAAGTCTGTTAGCTAGGCCAGAATCGTTGTCAGAGCCTACTTTGATTAGTCCTCGTCTAATTTGTATTCCTACACGACTCTGCCAAGTCATTAAATTTTATATATATTCTAGATCAGAATCAATAGTCGATATAGCCATATCCTTATGTCCGTCCGTCCATCTGTTGCTTTCTATACGAAGTAGCTCCTCAGTTTTAAAGCTAGGTCCGTCTTTCTGTTGCAGGCAGGTTATGTGTCGGAACCGGTCGGATCGGACAACTTTATCATATAGCTACCATAGGAACAATCAGTCAAAAGTTAAGTTCTTGGGTGGAAAACTTTTTTGTTTATCAAGATATTTTGACTAAACTATGATCCTCATATATATGCATAATCTTTTTAATATCGGACCAATCATTTAGCCGACATAGAAGAGATCGGTCGAATAGTGGGTTCTTATATTTCAAAATATTCAAAGATATTTTTGTCAAACTTCATTATTCTCACAAATCTGCAAAAGGCCAATGTCTACAAGGGTATTTTACAATGTTTTGTAGCTTAAGGGGAATTAACATTGAAGTATATAAAAATTAGGGGATTGAGGACACAGTCTAATACTGATACGGCTTATAACTCGACTCATTGGAAGGTCGCAGCGGCTGCTGAAAAATGAAAAGGTTGCAATTGGTACTTACGCAAATGGAGGGTAAAAAATAGGAAGCCTACTGGAGTAGGATGGCTACCGAAGATTGGGGGCCCCTATTTAAACCTCGTAAAGCAAAAAGCAGAAATTGCTTCTGAACTGACAATGCGATCCTGGCTATAATACTGTGAAGACCAGATGCAAGAGCAGTATTCGAGGATAGGTCGAAGGAGTTTCGTTATGAAAGGATCCATGTTAAACAGGGGAGAAAGCGGACCGTTTTAAATGTTTCAACCCTATTTTCTCAGTAGATAAAATTAGTTAAGCATCAAATACAATTTAACTTGTTCCCATTTTATTTATATACCATTACTATATAAATCTAGTTACCAAAAATTTACATATGGTTTGCTGTTGCTTTTTGTAGCAAGTGTTGGTTAGTACCTAGGTTTCTTTCTGAAGATAGATCTAACAGCAGGGTCCACAGCCACCACAGCAGCCTCCGCAAGGTCCGCAAGGTCCGCAAGGTCCGCAAGGTCCGCAAGGTCCGCAAGGTCCGCAAGGTCCGCAGCAGCTACCGCAAGGTCCGCAGCAGCTACCGCAAGGTCCGCAGCATCCTCCGCAAGGTCCGCAGCACGAGTAGCAAGGTCCGCAGCACATTTTGACAGGCACTGCAGATTAGAAAGATATTAGTCCAATTATAGAGGAAGATTTTAGTACTCACGCTTAGTTGAACTTCTTCACGGAAATAGGTACTAAGTTGGGAATTTACAACTGCAGATTGGCTTACAGAAAACTCTAGTCCGGATTTCAAGATTCTGGAATCCAATGCAGTATCTGTTCTTAGTTACAATAAACCTGTGGTTATATAAAAAAAAATATATAATTTTCAATTTAAAAAAAAAAACATATAATATTTAATTTTTTACTAAATACAAACTCAACTCACAATAACACAAAAAATTCTGTAGCCGTTCACTGGACAAGTTTAGAAGTTGAATGAGGTTTATTTGTATTGGATCTGGTAGCTGGGCCAGAATCGTTTGAAATGAATTTTCGTAGCCTACTTTGGTTCTGATTATTGGGGAAATTATTTGCGTAAGTTAAGAGCACCTTTTAAATATACTAAGCATAATTCAGACAAATTTCGTAGTCACCTTAAAGTATTTCAAGCACAACTCTGTGAACATTTTAGCATTGCACTTCAAACTTTGACTAAGAGTTGTAACATAAGCCCAGAGCCTGAGAACATTTCTTCCAAGTTTGCGCCGAAGTGCGAGGAAAATGTGAGGCAGGCACTTTAAACCTAACTCAAAGGCAAAGAGCTGCATTCTGTTTTCAGTTTCCAGTTTCCAGTTCAAATATCAACGGAAGATGGCAATGAAAAGTGCCAAGTGCTTGAGCTCATCTATCAATATATTTGCCGGATAAAAGGGGCCACTTATATCGGGGGTTGACGACAATTAAATACTCTCGGTTACCAAAAACTGTATAATATTTTATAATGACAAGTTACAAATAAAATATTCGCTGAACATATGACATATTTATTGTCTGCATTACGAACAATTTTTGTTTGGAAATGTTCCATTCATATTTTTAAATTATTATTATCAATTAATTTTAAAATAGTTTGATAGACAAGGTCAAATAAAGCAACTCTATATAACATTTATTGCAGAAAAGCAAAAATTGATACATAAAAAGTTAGTCTTTTTATTAAGTTTATTTTGCTATACTTATATTTATAATTATAAGTTTTGCTATTTTTTATTATTAATCAATTTTTTATTTACTTTGATGTTTTTATATGATATTTAAATTATTATTGATTTTTTTTAAATTTTATCAGTAAAAAATTAATAATTAAATATTTGTAGATTATTGAACATAAGGCTATTTTTTATAGCTTTAACTAAATTATTATAATTGTAGCTTACTTTGAGATCATAAATATGACATATGTTAGGCACTTAGAGTAAATATACAAGTAGCTAGAAGAAGAAGAACAAGCAGATGAGAATTGTTAATCAGCAGCTGACCAGGATGATGTTCAAGACTGAATATGTCCGAGGAAAATTTACGACTAGTCGCAGGATTCACACTGCTAGCCAACAAGTAAGAATGCCTCTGTATATTCATGTACGTGTGTAACAATGCGGAATGCGGAACGGGCAAGTGGAAGTGAAAATGGCACACACACAACTACACCCACACCCACACCCACACACACGCACAATGTCCTTCTACTAGCTTCACGTCACTTGGCCGCTTGCCAGCCTCATGACGAGGACAACCCTGACACTTGAGTGGAGACAGACAACCACTTGACTGTGACCCGCTCGCTCACACAACAGCAACAATGCGTACAATATATACTATAGAGATATATATATATATGTATATATATATATATGTATATACACAGAGCCCGTTGTCCTGACATTAATGTGCGTAACTTGGACAATTACGGCAAAGCAAACAAATGAAAATCCATCTTAATGTGAGTTGTTAGAGATTAAATACCCTAATATAATATGTTTAAATTCTCAGTAGTTCTTTTATAGTTAACTAATCTTAGTTCAAATCCAATTGCATATTGCGTTGTTTGAACAAAACTAGGCAAACTTTTAGTTAATTTATAGTTATATATTATTATATATTTTTTTATTTTACTCCATTTAGGACCCAATTATTTTATTTTTATTAAATAGTTAACCAATTGGAAACTTTGATCTCTTTTAAATTGTTGGATAAAAAATCGATCATTCTGTTTACATTTACCTCCTACTAAGTAGTTCGACCTGAAAGTTGCTGTAAAACCTGAAATATAAAACAACTGTTCAAAGTTTCAAGAAAACCAACTTAAAATAATACTCGACAGAGCTCATTGTGTTTTACAGGCTTAAATAGTTTGTATGCGATGCAATATTCCCCACATTTAATTTATAATACCCCGTAAATAAGAAACAAATTTTAAGGAAATCTTATTTGTTATAAACGAGCAGCCAATAAAGAAAGGTAAATATAAGAGCAATTGAGAGTATTGAAAGTCTGTAATTACAGGAGTCTTACTCTGTTCAAAAGGTAAAGCTGTTCTCTTTGTATGCGACTTGGGTTTGTTGTTGCAGTCCTGGTAACAATGGCACAAATGCAGCGAAAAGTGCGAAAGTAAAGGTATATAAATACAATGAAAAGTAATTAAATAAAGTAAAGGTGTTTGATATTTAATTGAACATTTTAATGCCATATAAGTGAGCGTGTGAGAGGGAGAGTGTTTTATGTTTGTTATTTTGAGCATTAAACGCTTGCAGCTAAATAAAATTTCGAAAACCTAATGAACTTGAGCCAATTAAAGAGTTTTAAGAAGTATTTGAAGTTTGCATTGTTAAATATGAGTTTGTGTATAATATCTGGTTTATAGGCAAGAAGGCGTAAAGCATTAAATTTAATTAGCTATTCTTTGCTTACCCTTCATATTTACTACAATTATACTTTTTACAGTGTCTGCAAATTAAAATGCCTTAACAATTTAATTTTGGAGGCATTTAACTCTTTCAAATTTTAATTTTTTTTTCACTTCCTTTAAAAACGCGTTATTCACCCATTTTACACATTTTTAGCGCCCAATTTTTTTCCCTTCTGGTTTTATCTGCTTGAGGGTATCTGCAACAGCTTGTGTTAATCACTGTTGCCCAAAGCGCTTAATGAGCCCAAGAACCTACCAAATAAAAAATAGCACTGCCTCAACTAGCAGATACCCAGTTTTGTGTTGTTAGGCATCCGAAATCTTAGGTTTCCTTAGAGTAAATATACTCAAAAGTACCCAAACAATATCTATATATTTAAAACAAACCTTCAATTAAAAAGACATAAAGTATATATTCTCCTACTCATACTCTATTTTTCACATTGTGTGCATGCATACTCAAAAGTACTCACTCCATATGACATCTATACTCATGCGTACCTAGAATCAACTGTATCATTACTCATAAGTATTTATTAATTGTTATTTATATTTTTTAACTAAACTATACTCGCTTTTGTATTACAGGGTATGCGAGAAAAAACCAGCTACAACCGCCTTACATTATCATTAAAAAAATCAATTTGTAATTATGGGCGGCAAAAACTGCATGCGGGCTTTATAAAAAAAAAATACCCTAGCAGAAAATGTGAATACGAGTATTCATATAAATTTTCCAGCATAAGTGAAAAATGTGTTAAGTGCATTAAAATTAAATTTCATTTTCGCCCGAACATATGCCGGGATGTATGTATATATATGTATATGGGTGTGTGCCCGTGGGCGTGTTGCAGTTTTTCAAGCAACGACAACGTTAACAACAAAAATTGCCGTTAAGGCCGGCGGATTAATGCGACAAGATTTACATGCGAAATCTACGCGTGACAGGCGAACGCTTCGATAGGCGTTGGAGCGTGGCACAAACATGGACAAGAACTGTTGTAAAAGCAACAATTATCCCCTCGAATTGAACTTTTCATGGTCCACCTTATCGCTGTTTTGGGCTAAGCTCTGGATTTGAAGACGTTGTCTGTGAAGCTTAGCATACATATGTTTTGGACTTAAAGTTGGCAACGTTTTTCGTTACCTAGGAAGTCGGGTAAGCCTAACAGCAACTATTATAATTCTCAATCGCAATTTTGTGTCCCAAACCTTCCCTGCCCTTACATAATTCAGGCAGTACAATTGGCATTCGACCTGAACCCTTAAACTCAGGTCAGCTGTTGTGCAACAGAAGCTTTTATAAAAAATAGAGGGAGGTATTCCCTTTCTATCTGAGGATACTTTGTCCACTTTCATAATCACAATAAGCAAATGCTGACGGCATGAGGTACACAAAGCAAAATCAGGGATTAAATAAAGCAATAAAGTGTAAAAGCTGAAAAATTAATGACAAGCAATTAAATGTCAAAAGCGGCTCTTAATACATTTATTCAAGAGGCTTAAGTTAAGTTATTGTGGATTTTCCTTCCTTTGAAGTCCTGTTCTTATTTTTAAAAGTTGGCAGAAATGGGAAGATTGCAGCTGAGCAAATATTAGTGGCAGGCCGGGCAGATCCTATCTTAATATTAATAACTCTTCCTATTACCTCAAAATCGATAAATATCGATTTGAGCTTGTAATTCGCAGCATTTCTCTGAAAGTTATGAGTTTTTCATTGTATATTTATGTATATAAATATCAAGCGATAATGAATGCGAAAAAAATGAAATTTAACAGTTTGTATAGGATTATATTAAATATTTACACTCTTAGGTCAAAAGCAAAATTTAATGAAAATTTGCACACTTTTAAAAATGATCTAATGTATTTTATTAATACAAATAAATTACAATGGAATAAATATAAAAAAAAACATCACAAAAACGTTTGGGAAAATACTTTTGAAAAGAAGGTAAAAAAAAAAACGTACAGAGCCATGAAAATCAGCTTAGAATGCACTTACAAAAAAACACACTCACACAAGCTTAAAAATGTATAAAAGAAAATATACATGCAAGTGAATAATATTTACACATGTGTTGGTAAATCCTGTGGAGAAAATTGTATGTTTCGATTTATAAAAATGCTATAGCGTGGAAATGAAAAATCCGATTTGTAAATAAAATATACAAAATACAAGTGAATACAAATACAAATACAAATGCAATTACAGTTGACTGTGTTTTCCCCTCTTACTCTACCCCTGTTTCTCACTCCATCGTACGCTCTGTTGAACTGTGGGTATTTTTGGGGTATTTTGTATTGCCTACTTTTGGGCTGGCGACTTAATTATACACATTTTCCACTTAATTTTTTTCGGGCTGTATTGTTATACCCTGTTTTCAAAATGGAGTTTAAGAAAGGGTTTATTGTGTAAACATCGAGTCGATCTATCTGTCTGTCTTTCCCTTCGTTTGTCTGTACGGATTTATAGAAACAAAATTTCGCTTACGCGTTCTATTTTGTAAAATCGATATAAATCGATATTCCGTCCTCAACTTTTGAGCATATCTAAAAGATAAGATATGGTATAAACAGATCTAAATTATTATCGATACTGCGTTTGTTGTTTCTTAAAAGCGAAAAATATC